TGTAAGTATTAGATGATCCGCTCTAGATCCTGCATGTATTATGCTTACGACTGAAAGCGTAAGTATAAAAATAAACAGACAGCTATGAAGCTGTTGTTTTCATTCCTTCAGTTCCTTACGGAACATAGCGCTTGAGGCATGAGGCAGTGAAGGAGCTTCAGTAGTTGGGTTTTGTACCAGCAAGTACAAAAACTCAACCATACCCTACTTAGCTCGTGTTCTGTGTGATAAAGAAAGCATTAGGCGTGACACCTATAATTCGTTAAATAGTCAGTAGTACAACTGGACATCGTCTTTCCAACTCATATCATTTATAGGTACAACATTTTCTTTCTTTCTTTTCCTATTCTCTCTCTCTTTTTTTCCGTTATGTGCTGCTTTGTTTTTTCTCTCATTTACGCCAGTAAATATGACAGCTCCTACTTTTCTAACACCTTCAAACACTGTTCAGCTTTACCTTTGCTACCGACATACCAATGTGTTGTTGTCATAATGAACTGATATTTCCTTAATCTATGTTGAATTCTATTTATTGATAATGTACTAACTGGATGCAATGCTGTAGTAATAATGCTGAGAATTCCTTTCTGTATCACAAGTGCTGTTTTGGAATAAAGCAAATTATTATTATTATTTAAAAAAAACATTGAGCTCGAGGCATGAGGCAGTGGAGCTTCAGTAGTTGGGTTTTGTTTTTACGAGGTGGGGCTACTAGGCCTAAGCTACCCTCCTTTCCAGGACTAATATAGGCTAGTAAGCCAAGCGACCTTGGGGAGTATTTTATCACTGAACCACGAAGCTGTTAGGCCTTTAATTTGACGAGAACACTACACACACACATCTGATATTGAAAGTATTACCCAACCGGAGGAAGCCTGATAAGATATCCAGCCTACGGTAGAAACAGTGGTAAAGACTGATGATAACCTAAAACCAAAGATTAGTATAAATGGCAATAGTTTTCTGTTGCTTAATTCCAACTGAAAACTCAAGAACACTGATTCCGGTGGGCTCCAGACATGATGAGGAGAGAAAAGCTGTTCAAATGCAAGCTGACTAAAAGCCTTCGCTGACGAAAGTGAACAATGATAGAAGGTATCGGCAGTAGATAACACCAAACAATTATTCAGACTCACTAGGAAAGTGGCCTGTAAAAACCAATAGTGAGTAAGACGATTTCCGGGAAAAACGGTACTTTAAGTATCTTTCAAGATAATCAACTGAAACTGGCCTACAAGCACACTGAACTAGTCCAGCATTCATCATCTACCTGAGTGGGGTTCTCCAATTGTAAGTGAGATTATCTCTACACTATAAAAAGGCAAAGCAGCAGGACCTGATGTTATCACTTCATAGGTGTTTAAGGGTGCTAGTGATCAAATAACGACTCAGTTAACCAAAACACTAAGTAATCCGGGGGGATTTGAGATAATCCCACTGACTGTCCCAGTTTAAAAACAAACATATCTGTCATCACCACAGGAGGATTAACTTGATCAACATTGTAAAATTCTAGGTTCAATAATCGTAAGTGAAAAATCAAAATATTATGGACACGACACATGTTTCTGTCTATTGCCGCTTCCTTAACACGAGAAGACGTAGCGACAATCAGTGAGTAACAGATCTCACGCTATTTACGCTACTCTCCATAAATGTCATTCCATTAAATCCAGTTTCCAGAGATAAATCGTAAATTACGTAAAATGGCCACTTAAGTCAATTAATTTTGCAGTATCTTCAAGAAATGTAACTTCAGACAATTCAGTAAGCAAAATGTAGAAAGGGGAGATCATTAAAGTTGTCATTATGAAGTTTTCAAGAGTTGATTTGTTTGTCGAGTTTGACTACGGATTGATATCACTTACAGAACCATTGAAAACCAGCAGGGAGTAATAGACAACTGTTTCATCCCAGTTTGGGACTCATCAGCAACATGCACTCACCATGGGGGTTCGAACCCAGGACCTCCCGGTTTCAAGGCAAGCCCGTATATCATTCAGACACTGGGACCCGACCATGAATTCTAACTCCTACCAATTCGTGATTTAGCGCGACCACCAACTAATGTCATCGGCGGGAAATCCATCCGCACTCCCGACTGGGTGGACGTCACTGGTCATAACTTTTCACTCGAACTCCAGGAAACTCCGTCCTGTAGCAAGTCACTAGCGAGCATCAGATTAATTTTCAAGAGTTGACTGACTTAACGTAATCTTCGTCACCGAGCGAAAAACGAAGGAGCACTGGACATTATAAAACACACACACGTACGTCTGATCTTGAAGTTATGACAATAGTGTTTCCATCCTACGCATACGATGCTAACAATCTCATGATACCTGCTTTTTCCCATTCCTATGCATTCCGAGTGGGGCACAGGGCTTTAAGCTTGAGCTTTAAAGTTTCAATAGAGGCGGTGTTGTTGTTGTTCTTCTTCTAACTACACGCCCAACTTCCCCTCTTCACCGAGCTTACTACCAGCTAGGCATGGTTGAGGAGTCCATTGGGCCACGATAACTCTCTCTCTCAATATATAAGTTTGAATGATTATAGGTTGAACAGGATCAGCTGAAGATCCGTTCCATTTAGAATCACTGACTATTGAAAAGATGATCAACGAATTCCATCACACAGTCGAACCTGTATCATATACATTTTACCATGGTGTATCCATCTAATTTGTAGAAAAATATGCACACACATTTAGAAAAAAAAAACCTTAAGCTTCTTTTTCTTAACGAATATTTACGCAAGTTACTTGAACAAGTCATTTACTCATGTGATAATTGAGTCTATTCGAGTATAAAATACCGAAATTAATAAAAAAAAATCACCTTAGATGAATGATATATCATCAGACAAGGTGAGCGTACTGAATGAAAAACACTTAAAGAGGTGTAAAACTTAAAATAAGCACACATTAAAAAGCCATCAGAATAATTAATGATGCTACTACCAACCAGTGTTCTAGACTTAACCATGCAACTTTTAAAGAAAATTACACAGCAGGAGAAACGTACACTATGCATTCTTCTACGTTTATAAATTCCTTTATATATAGAATATATATATATATTTATATATAACGATTATTAAAGATTGTGATAAGATAGAAGTCGCAATACGCCAACGGGAGAGGAAATAATTTGTAAATGTTGTGTTCAAGAGATACGAGATCATCAGTAGTGTACGGGATGGGTTTAAAAAAAATCATTATTCATAATGACGACCTTCACAGATATTGGTAGGATGAATGATTACGCAATATGTTGCTTAGAACTCAGGTGCCCGAAACACGATCTATCTGTGCCACGTCCCTAACCGCACTTATTGTATGACAGAACGGCATTCAAGCCCGGGACCTTCTCGTTGAGATTCAGGTGTTTAAGACGATGATCCAGTGAGACAATAAGCTTATGACTTCATTTACATCTCCTCAGAGTATTTCCTGATAGAATTTTAATGATAAAGAAAGACTAGACGCAATCACCGTCATAAGATACCGAAATCAAACGTAAATCGTTTTGTCTTCACGTGCAGCAATGCATCAACTTTTTCGGTGCATATCGACAGGGAATTCCAATCTCTCACATATCCATCGGCAAAAAAATTCGTCTGCTCATCACTCTTCACTTTAATTCTTACTTAGGTCTTCCCTAATACTTCAAAATAGTACTGTGCTACATTCAACTCCTTTCACTTTTCTTATTGATTGTACGACTCCTAGCTTAGAAATAGACAGTGAAGTCGTAGAGCGTGTTAACCATTTCACTTATTTCAGTAGTTGTATAAGTCCCAACGGGTTGATCGCTGACAAAATCTCAGCACGGATACAGAAGGCTAGTTTGGCATATGCCAAGTTACGCCATCTCTGGCGCAGACGTGATATCCGGTTGGTTGTCGACCAAGGGACGTGTGTACTGCTCAGCAGCAGCAGTTCTCTCTGTCTTCCTTTATGGCTGTGAGACATGGCCTTTGAAAGTGAAAGACATGAAAAGGCTAACTGTCTTTGATCATAAGTGCCTGCGTTTTATCTCCCGTGTTAGATGGCATAATAACGTCAGTAATTTTGAGGTTAGGCTTCCAGTGAGTACTAGGTAAGGAGGGAAAATCAATCAACGACGTTGTGAAGTTACATCAACTGAGATGGTTGGGACATGTGTTACGCATGCATGCCTAGCCACCGCCTTCCTCGACAACAGGCAATGGTAGCTGCTGACATTGGATCGATTAGGTTGGAAAAGAGCTAGTGGTGGTCAAACCAAAACATGTCTTCATCAGTCAATGAAATCCATAACAGTTAGTTTAAGCCAGCCACGTAGGGAGGTGTAGACTGCCAAGCTAGTTGGGGTCATCGGGATGGTTAGAACCAATGACGGCTGGAGACAAGTGGTGATATGGCTGGCTGGGTGAGTGGCTGAAAATCGTTGTTCTCAATGATGGCACAGATGCATTCACTCTTTGTGATTTATCATATCCAATAAAACTCTATTGTTCTTCTATATTATTATTCTTTTTCCCTCGTACTTCTGTTTATAGTCTCTCTTTTGAATGTGTCTTTACTTTTTCCTCTTGCTTTGTGTGGTACATGGAGTGTGGCGACTGGAACTGTTGCACATCTGTGCAAAGTTCTATGTTGAAACCATTCAGTTAGAGAGCTGTTGTTTAACGTATTGAGGTCATTGAAACATCGTTTCTAGACTTTTTAATCCACTCCACTAACATCACTGTAAAACTTTTAATGCCGTAAGCCAGCGTCAAATCGGAACTTAGGTATTTGAAGCCAAGCCCCTCAAAACTCTGGCTGTAGACACATACAGTGTATTTCTGAGATACCTATACAATATCAAAGTGAGGGGTCTTGAGAGATTTAGAGAGAATTTATCCATGAGGCAAACTACTGGTGATGTTTGATGGCAATGGAGACGCTTTATAAACGACGAAAACATATGATATATGTAGTTAACTGTTCACATTGATAAAATCAAACAACTTACTTCGAAATTAACCAATAAATGCTGTGAACTACCATGTGGTACAGGTGTACAAGCCATGGTGTTAGCCAATCGATCAGTTAAACTTGTAGATATTTGAAAACCACGATTTCCCGAAGGTGGTGCACTACAACTCAATTCAATTGAATCCATTTCTCCGGGATAATTACGTCGTCTTGCAGCTACTGTCAACCGGCTACTTGCACCACGTTCAAATGCTGCTTCGGCTGACTGGTCTTGATGCTGAGGAGTGAATCGTAAACTGGCTGGTCGACGACGAAATGAAACACTCTGATTTGGCTTACTGTTGCTGTTGTTGTTGCTATCATTATTGTTGTTAGAAGAACCAATTTTTGTACCACAGCTATCATTACTATCAGTACTGTCAATTGTACTAGTAATAATATTGACAGGAACAGTGTTATTGACTCCAGAATCCGACTTTGTATTTTTCAACTCAGAAGTCTTTTCTACTGACTGATTTCCTTTAGCATAGCTATCGGCGATTTCACTGGAACTTCTTAAGTTATGATTGTAGACCATACAAATAGAACTATGGGACAACAGAGTGATAAACACAAATATAGATTAACACAAATAAAAATATTGGGAAATTATAGCATCTAAAAACTACCAACTAACACCTTCAAAAAAATAAGATTAACCAGAGATGCTTACAAAGAAACATGGTGACCTTCAAGAGTTAGTTTGTAGCGATTTGATGTGTTCCAGGTTTGACCACAGGCTGATATCAGTTAGAGAACCATTGAAAACCAGCAGGGAGTACTGGATAAATGTTTCGCCCTAGTTTGGGACTCATCAGTAGTATGCACCGACTGGGACTTAAACATAGGACCTTCCGGTTACAAGGTAAGCTCGTGGACATGTCAGCCACTGGGACCCGATTCAATGGCCAGCCCATGAATTCTAACTTCAACCAGTGATTTGAAGTTAGTGGACACTTATTTTTTTCTTCACTTCCGGATTATACAGACACTGGACATTAGGAACTCATTGAGTAACTGAAGCCAAGGGAATCAGGTTTTAAGGCAATCACTGATACCATACAATCTGCGTGATAGGCAGTTACCTGGGTTCTAGTGGGAAGTCGATACCAATGGGGTACAGCAGGTAGGGTGTGAGGGCAAATATTCGCCGATGACATTCGCTAGAGTTCGCGTCATTTGATGAACTCGCAGAAGTTGGAATTCAGAGATCATTGGGTCGGGTCTCAGTGGCTTAGTGGTCTACAAGCTCGCCTTGAAACCAAAAGGATCTGAGATCGAACCGCGGTGGGGCGTGTGAGTACTGCTAAGGAGTCCCAAACTAAAACGAAACAGGTATCCAGTACTCCATGCAGATTTTCCAATGTTCCTCTAACCGATATCAGTTCTTGATGAAATCTTGAAACCAATCGAATCCCTGCAAACCAACACTTGAATACTTCCAGTGAATTGGACTAGACAGATAACGCCAATGTCAACTTAGTTACCTATGAACAAGTGAATCGATGAGGTAGATATCATAATAATTTATCCGAAAGTGAGTTAATAAAGCAAGAAAGATGTATAAACAGTAACATGATACAATTATGAAATGTATGAATACTATACGATGAGTAGGTTGGTTTTTTATTTATTCATCAAATTGGATACTTTATTGACTAATTGAACTATTTGAAACATTCGTAGGAGAAGAAACATTCATTTTAACAAAGGTAACTTTCATTACTAAAACATTATTTAGAGACACTGTGAAAACACAACGAAGCACTAAATTGCTGCTTCATTCTGTTGTAGACATTCATAGAGATGAGGATCTAGTCGGAAATGAACTCTGTAAACAGATAGTAGTTTCGCAACAAAGAATTTACTTTTCAGTATAATATTTTATTCGTCTGTCTGCCTGTCTAGTCTCTCCAAAGTTCTGTCGCCACTTGAATGCTACTACACAAAATCTTTTCTACCTCTCAGGATAGTTAACAAATCAAAAACGTCTGATCTATTACTCTGTCACTGTGAATCTCGTCAATAACAAACATCAGTTTGAGAATCGCTGTTAAAACCAAAGAGCACTGTACAGATGTTTCGTCCTGATTTGGGACTCTAGCAGTGTGCACCCATGACTCCGAACCCTCAGGTTATCGCATCAAACTTGTTACCATCCAGCCAACTGAGCCGGAATTCAATGACCCTTGAATTCTAGACTAATCAGTTCGTCTTCTAGCCATACCACCAACCTATGATTGACTGAATAACTGGTTTCAACACAGAACTTTGCACAGATGTGCAGCATCTCCAGTCACACACTCCATGTACCACACAAAGCAAAAGGAGAAAGTAAAGACGCATTCAAAAGAGAGACTATAAACAGATGTACGAGGGAAAAAGAATAATAATAATATAGAAGAACAATAGAGTTTTATTGGGTATTATAAATCACAAAGAGTGAATGCATCTGTGCCGATTTTCAGCGAGCCATATCACCACTTGTCTCCAGCTATTGAATCTTAGAATCGCGATGACCCCAACCAGCTTGGCAGTCTACACCTCCCTACGTGGCTGACTTAAACTAACTGTTATGGATTTCATTAACTGATGAAGCCATGTTTTGGTTTGACCACTACTAGCTCTTTTCCATCCTGATCGATCCAATGTCAGCAGCTGCCATTGCCTGTCGTTAAGGAAGGCGGTGGCTAGGCATGCATGCGTAACACATATCCCAACCATCTCAGTTGATGTAACTTCACAAGGTCGTTGATTGATTTTTCCTCCTTACCTAGTACTTACTGGAAGCCCGACCTGAAAATTACTCACCCTATTATGCCATTTAACACGGGAGGTAGAACGCAGGTACCTTTGATCAAAGAAGGTCACCAACCTATGCCAATGATAAGCATCTACTTTACCTTGACATGAGGGGGGACAACACTGGCCACAACTTCTTATCACAACTTTAGGAGTAGTGTACAAGTACTGATGAAGGGGCTCAAACTGGAGTGAAACAGCTATCCAGTGAGTGCACCCTAATTTTCAATGATTCTCTAATTGGATGTTGGTTCGTGACGAGATCTTCACTGAAATTGAGCCAAATCCCTAGAAAACGGATGATCTAACTATTACGCCTTGTTGAACATTTTACATCCAGCCTTCGTACACAGTAAGGGAATGTAATTAGCATGGTTTTAGTTTGATAAACCCATTTTTAAATAATGTCATTGTATCTTCTGTTTTTTTCTAACGAATAATTATTCTGATAATTTCTTTTTAATTCATAAAAAATAACTACGCAAATTCTCATTCATTTCATAATCCTTTTTCTTTGACAATTTTCGTTCTACTTTCTGTGAGGTATTTTGTTTAAAATACCTACAACTACCTTTATGATGAGATAGAAATTGTCAATAACTTGTAGTTCTTAATCCTTCACATTATTAGACCGTACCAGATATTTAACTGGCATCACCGAAATTCCAGACTTTCACCTCTGTGTACCAATACATCTAAACAGGTTCAGGTATTTATCTCTAAATTCTAATCTCTGTCTGCAGCTGATAAAAAGTTCTTAGACAGTATATGATTACCTTTCAAGTGTTGGTTTGCAGGGATTCAATTGGTTTCAGGATTTCATCATGAACTGACATCGGTTAGAGGATCATTGGAAAATCACCTGGGAGTACTGGACAGCTATTTCGCCAGCCTGTTATGGGACTCTTCATCAGTACGCACCCACCATCAAGGTTCAAACCCAGCATCCTTCTGGTTACAAGGCCAGCGAGCTCGTAGACCATTAAGCCACTGGGACCCAATCCAATGGCCAGTTCATATATTCCAACTTCTGCTAATTTACGATATGGCGCGACCACTAGAGAATGTCATCGCTGGCGAGTATTTATCCTCACACCCGGCTAATTAATGCCTGCGCACTTCACCTTGACATGGTGGAACCTAACAGTCATCAATAATCTAAATATCAATCTTCAGCTCATTGATGGCTACTAGGTGGATGTCCTGAAGCCTTACTGAGAAGTCAGAGCAGTGGAATCCACCATGTCAGAGTTAAGTAGATACTTATCGAAGGCATTGGTCGGTAGTAGATCTATATCACAAAAATTGACAGAAGTTAGAATTCATGGATCACTGAATTCCAGCTCAAATAGCTGAATGGTCAACGAGTCTGATCTTGTAACCTGAAGGTCCAGGGGTAGACTGCCAACAGGGCCATGGATTAGGATGAAGAGTTCCTAACTAGAACGAAACAGCTGTCCAGTGCTTTCTGGTTCTCAATGGTCTCTTTAACTCGTGTTGGTTCGTGACGAAATCTTCATTAAAATCAATCCATATCCCTAAAAAATCCACAAACTAAAGGAACAAAACTAATTTATGAAGTTACTATGTAACATTAGTGTGCGTCCGTGGCACAGCGGTAGAGTGCTCGCCGACCACGCAGGTGGTATGGGGTTCGATCCCCAGCCGATGCACTTCTTTACCTCGCTAAGCCAGCAATAACACTGGTAAAGAGAGAAGGTTGGACATGAGGCTAGCAACTCCATCCTGTAAAAATAATCACCACTGCCACAGAAAATTCAAGCCTCTGGCTTGAAGCCCTATGTTCCAATGGGAAAGTAAAGGAATGAAAAAATGTAACATTAAGGTGTAGAGTGGATTTGAAGACTGTCGAATGATAATTGTTTCAATCAGTCATACCACTCAGTGACTACTTATTTGCATGCATGCAGTAGAGATTATAAATTACACTCCCTGTAATAACGGAGTTAATAAATACTACAACGAAGTGGTGTCATCCACATTGAAATGGATTCGTATCTGTAGTTAACCGATTAACAATCTAGATGTCTACATTGTCTATCGAAAATTACTGATTTAAATTTCTATACATCACTGGATAACATTCATTCATCTGGAACCGATAAGATTCAGAAGGTAAACTAAAGAATTTCTACTTTCGTCTCTCACATCTTTGTCTTTCAAGTGGAACATAATACATCAACTTTCAGCTCTGAAGTTTCGGTAGTAGTGGTGTTGTTTTAACGGTTTGGGGGTTGCTAACCTCACACTCAACCTTACCACTTTGCCAGACTAAGGAGTATGTCTGCCTGGAATCGAATCCCGACCACATGCGTACACTTTGAAATCGAATGTATACAATGTCTACATTTTATTTAACTTCCCAATTGTGCCTTCAAATACACAACAATACAATTTCCTAAGTGCATCGGTGGCACAGCGGTTAAGACGCTCGCCGACCATGCACATGGTCCGGGGTTCCATCCCCGGCCGACGCACTCCGATGCACCTCACTAAGCCAAAAATAATGCTGGTAAAGAGGAAAGGTTGGGCATGAGGCTAGCAACCCCATCCTGTAAAAATAATCACCACTGCCATAGAAACTTCAAGCCTATAGCTTGAAGCCCTATGTTCCACTGGGAACGTGAAGGAATAAAAAAAAACAATTTCCTTATCCAGTGTACAAATTAATATTGGTAAACTCAAAGTTGAAGAGTCTGTTTCTTTTCGTTCCTAATGTCTTTGAGTATATATAAAGTATTCAGCTAAAATAGAGTTGCATTCGAAAGACCTATGTAACACAACAATACACAAATAATGGATCGAACATGTTCATACAATCTTTACCTCTATACAATCATACTCTGATAAAAATGTACCTATATACACGTTTGTAATTTGTAATATTTTTTTACGCATGAGCTACTAAACATACTGTACTTGTTTAAACGAAGTAAATACAATTTTACACAGTAAGAAGACAATTATCGTTTTTGACTGCTTTCTCACCTTCGAGACGTTTTCAAACGGCTAAACGACGAATCAAAATCGAACTTTCCACTTGTACTTCTTTTGAGAGGTACCTGATGGGAATATTAAAAGAAGATAATTACAAATAATAAAAGAGAATAATTAATTATGCGAAAATGACTAATTGATATAAAGTGATGACTGGTATAAAAACAAATAGATGATTGAGTTTTAGAAAGGCAAAATGTCAAGTTCAACTACAAATATGAAAAACAACAACAATAACAACATTTAACGGATTGTATACTAATATCGTGTTAGTTATAGATTGACACAGACTGACAGAAAGAACGCACACTAAGAAAAAAAAGTCCAAATCGATGCAAATATTTGTACACTAATGAATTGATTTAAATTTTCTAACTTCAAAATAGCACAGAAACAGAACAGTGTTAACAGAAAACAAAACATACTGCCTACAATTCTGAATGAAGAGAAATGCTTTCGATTTGCAAGATAATAAAGCCTGGCTACATCTTTTCCTTGAGTTCAGAGAGGAACATAAGACTACAAGCTTTCTTCTTGAAGTTTCAGTAGTAGTGAAGTTGCAAGCCCTACGTTAAGCCTTCCTTTCTCGGCTAACTACCACTAGCTAGGCAAGGTTTAGGAGTGAGTTGGACTGGAAACGAACCCCGCCACCAACCGACACAAGATGATAAAGATGGAGTACATCTATGTTAACCTAACAGAATTTATTTCATACTAAAGAAGTTCTCCAGCTTTCAGTAACTTAATGGGAATCAAGACTTCCGCTTTGTTAGAACTCGTGTTACTGAAAGTTCTGTGGCTGTTGGTAGTATTTCTAGACAAGTTGTAGGTAATGGTCCACTCAAGAGTCCTTTGAAGTGTCTCTCCTCTTTGGTAATTACGTTCCCTCGACCATCGTTTATAGGTTTCATCTGTGTTGACGTCTTCGCGGATAGCGATCTGGTTATTTGATATGGTGTTTTTATCTACGACCTGTTCTGTTTCAGTTGCCAGTGGGTCTTAGAATTGTCTTTTGTCTTTCCTAGCACTCTTCTTCACCCTCTTATTCAGTGTGTTGTAGGCTGAACTCAGTTTCTCCTTCCATAGTTCATCTTTTCTTTCACCATCTCGCTCTTCTCTATTAGCTTCCAAGTTTCCGTAGACAGCCATTCCTTGTCTTGTTTCTCCTTTCTTCCGAAAACGGCTGTACACACTTCCTTAAACATCACTTTCACAGCGCTCCAGTGTTCTCCCACACAAGCTTCTTTGGTGATGCTATGCAATGTCTCCAAATTTGCTCTGATGGCTGCAGTGAATGTGTCTTTTGTGGTTTCATCCTTCAATTTCTGTCCATTGAACTTTAATTTTGGTCTATCTCCAGTTATTTTAAAGGCTTCCAACTTGAAATTGAAGTTTCCTTGAACTAGATAATGGTCTGAGCTCAAATCTGCTCCTCTCTTCGATTCTGTATCGAGCTGGCTGCGTCTCCACTTCCTTGAGATTGAGATGAAGTCTATCTGACTTTTGGTGTGTCCATCAGGTGAAGGCCACGTTGCTTTTGGTATATCATTGTGCTTGTGGACGCTACCTTAAATTGTCTGCAGATATCTCCCCTCTTCCCATGTTTTGTGTTGTTTGTAGGCGTGGAGCACTCGATTATTGAAACTTCCTTTCCTTTTGAGTTGAATCTTGCTGTCATTGTCCTGGGGGAGATTGGTTTCCGTTGCATACGAGTTTTGGATGCTGTTTGGGACATAATGATAGCAACTTCCTCAGCGTGCTCGTTGTCTGAGTGACCAGAGTAGATGACTGACTCCAGCTAACAATTCGGACAGTTCACTTCCATTCCATCTGCTCTCAAAGATTCCGAGCACTTAGATATTGTATATTCTCATTTCTTGTTTAATCTGAGCAACCTTACAAGCCTAGAACATCGTGCAAACATTCCATATGCCCATGCTTATTTTTGCCCCCATCGGAAGAAGACATTGGCTGACTAGCTTCCCAAAGGCTTTCACCAGCCCTCGTCATTCCGTCTCTCCGACTCCAGGGAAGGAAAAGTTTACTTGCTATATTATTACTGTGCTTTGAAGTTTCTGTTGCGACTGGGTCGATTATCCAGGGTGAGGTCGCTTGCCTAGTAAACTAGTAAGCAAAGCAACTTCACCTAACAACCAATAATCAGTCGCCCGACAAATATGCAGAAGACAATGGAGAGACTATTGAGCGACGACGCACGTCAGACACTCGAGTGGAACCCAATTGAGAAACGATGAGTTAGGCTTGTTCCGAGGGTGACATTCAAAAGATCGTGTGAGGAAATAGCTTATGGGTGAACGCGGACCCCGCTCAAAAGGACTGCAGAGGACAGGATGAAGTGGAGATGTGCTGTTGAAGCTACTTGTAACCCTTGGGTTAATCTAATATTCCATGAATATTCATAGAAGACAACCATGCTACTAGTTGAGATGTTATATATATATATGTTCACCTGACATTCAAATTACTACATGAACTCTACATTACATTGCATGGTAATTACAGAATAAATTCTTTTACAACGATGCACCAGCTTGAATTGCTAAAGTGTACACAGGAGGAATTTATAAAGTAGCTAGCGAGATGGTATTGTGCGTCGGTGGCATAGCGGTTAGGACGCTCGCCGACCATGCACATGGTCCGGGGTTCGATCCCCGGCCAACGCACTCCTTTACCTCGCTAAGCCAGAAATAATGATGGTGAAGACGAAAGGTTGCGCATGAGGCTAGCAACCCCATCCTGTAAAATAAACACTGCTACACAAACTTCAAGCCACTAGCTTGAAGCCCTATGTTACACTGGGGAACGTGAGGGAAAGAAAAGAAGCGAGATGATATAAGGATGTGGCTCATTCTATTAAGAACTTGACTTCCAGCCAGTGGGTCCTGAGTTCAAACCCCACTCCACCTAGTTCAGTTTGTGCTACTCGGTGGTATCATTAACCTTTACACAGCAAGTGTGGCTCATATCCCAGTAGATTGAGATTCAACTAACTAATAGGACTGTTAAAATGTGGTGTGAGTATGAAAATTAAGACTCACTTTAAATTTAGAAAAGGAGTAAATCTATTAACTTTTATAGTAGCAGAAATGTAATCACATCAAGAAGCGTCTCTATTTGTTAGTTCCTAAAACTTTGATCAAGTCATCCAGACTATGCCTTAGATAGCATACATGAGAAGTCGACAGTCTAATGGTTTCGTATTATATTACAGTTTGCTGTCATTTGTTCCTGCTATTTTCACGCTGAAATGTATCTTATTTTTATTAAAATAATCATGTCAGTAAGTTGTAGTAAAAAAAAGCACTTCGAAAAATTAATACGACGGAGAGTTAATATAAAAATCACAATTTTGTTGGATCTATTGGGTTGAATTTAAAACTAGCCATACAATGCGTTTATTATTCCTTTTACGAATTGAAAATGGCTTAGGGAATTAAACGCAGATCGATACGTGAAAACGTCCTAGAACAAACAACGGGTTTGTTTGTTTTTCAATTGCAATAAGTAATGTCTGGATTGCATGTAAATAGACATGTGAGGAATGTAATACAACATAACCATGATACCACAAATCTCACGAATATGCAGTTACACTGCAGTATATATTTTCTAAATATTTCAGGTATCTTGCTAATTTTGTCACTATGCTTACAACTATGTCACCCGTACTGCTCTAATTCAATTAAACATAAGACTCATTATAATACACAACGAATTTAGTATAAAAGACTTATGAACACAAGAGTAAGACTTACTGGAGATGACTGCAAAGGTAAACCTGTTCGACGATTGAAGAAAGGAGTTCCTTCATTGTGAAATGAAGGCCAAGCACATGCAGAAGCAGCATTGCGTCTCCTGCTCAATCTTGATACCGAATCAAAATCAGCATTCGGTGAGTTCTTTTTGCTTGCATTTAAATGCGATTCTAAAATGTGCTCCTGTTTTTTCCTGTTGTCTTGAACAGTTTCCCTTGAACACAGATCATCTGTCGGTAGGCGCATTACACCAAGATTACAAGAATTCTGATGTTCAACAGAAGTTATACTTTGATTGCGTTCAACATTAAGCATAGTGAATTCCGCAATAACCTTATTGATGCAACCTTCACGTTGAATACTTGGAGTTATAGTAGGGGTGTTGGTGACGGAAGTGGATACCTGACTGGTATTATCTAACTCTTGGTTTTCAGTGGTAAAATCACGGGTATAATCACTGACACGCTGTTGTTTACGGGGAGGTGGTTCTAAAGGCATTTGTGATACCCGATTAGACTCGACAACACGAGTTGACTTCTTTGTTAACGTTGAGTGACCTGACTCTGTGCAGTTCCCTGAAGAACTGGATGATAGGATGTCGTTGAAGAGATTGTCATATGAAGACTGAAAAATAGCTTCTTCAGAGTCCATTATAACAACAGGACTTCGACTAGTTTCTACATCAGATTCTTTAGAACAGTTCAGAAAATTCCGCTGATGGACATTAACATTTCCCTGTATTGCAGGTAATATGAATGCATCATCTGCTGAGCAAATATTGATATCTGTGAGGGTTTTTGACGGTGAAATACGTTTGTTACGACCAGGCATAACGAAATCATCTTTGTTTACTGTACATATTGAGCGAAGACAAAATGGACACGACGGAGGTTGCTGAGGTGGATGTTTTAGTGTTACAACACTAATTTGTAGGAGTGTTTTTTCGTTAACAGATAAAGGTGTGAAATCTCGTGTAACAGTGCATTCAGTTCCATTCTGGTGGGCAGTTTTCGAAACCGTAGTTGAGGCACTTTCATAACAACAACCATCTTCAGTTAAGAATGACTGATCATACATATCTCGATCATCAGAAGTGAAGTCCATATTCAATAAATCTGATGCATTCATAAGAAATGAATCACCTATACAAGAAACAGGGTCACGTGCATAAGATCTAAAATGAATAAAATCATAAAATCCATTAATTATTATTCAGGACGAAAATCATTTTTTGCCAAAACTAAAAGCTATGTACCAACCTGTGTGTTAGCTTATATTTGCGAACGCGATTGAGGTCTTTAATTGCAGTCATTAGAGGGGATTTTTCTATGAAGTCCAAGAGCTCAAGCTGACAACCAGAAATCGAGATACCTCTGTTCAAAAAGCTGACAATGTAAGAAACACAACGAGAAATAAGTTTTAGATTACATCAAAGTTATTTTCAACAAAACCACCTTCTACGGGGTTATAGGACATAAAATTAACGTCAAATCAAATAAACATACTAAGGTGAGCTATTGAAGTGAATTAACATTACTTTTGAGGGAGTAGTTTCACTGTCCATTGTTCCATAACACAGACCGGGATCTTATTGTCTCCACAGTGTTCTAAACAATTCTCTCCGATGACAAGTGTTTCGATGGTTGCTATAGATTTCTTGAATTGTGGACTTCGCCACGAATCATTACGCGAGTCGTTCTAAATAGATAAAATTTAAGATGTAAGAACTTGCCATTGTAAGAGCTTTAGTTCCCTCATCTTTATTAGTTTCATGCCTTTCGATATTAGAGCCATCTATGTAATCAAATATCCCACCGTAGATTTTGACCTGCTGAGACAGAATGAACCGGCATACATATTGGAGAGCATTTGAACCTTGATTACTGCTGCATAACTTAGGGTTCAAAACTACAGTCACTAGTAGAACTTTAGGGAAAAAAACCTACTAGTTAAGACTTCCGACCCAGCACTATCAATCATACTTGATTAGATTCGGAGTTGAATGTAGTTAGGGTATTTATTCTATACTATTTGTATGCACTAAAGATCAATCTTAGTGTGAGATTATACAATGCACATATTTGTTAAACAGAGGTGTTTATAAACTAGGGAATCTCAACATATTTATTTGCTTTGCTTCCAGACTATTTAGTCTGAAGAGTACATCACACGCCATAGGTGACAATCAGCTGTTTTGCCGACAGACAGCTGATAGGCCAGAAGTTGCCACTTGACCTTGACAGCACTTAAAACAAAATTCTCTCATTTTATGATTTAAGTAGAAATCCGTGATTTCAGCCTTTCACTAATAACTTCTCTGTGTATTGATACTTTCGCTAGTGATTCTGTGAAAAGAGTTAAACATTATGTATACATGACGCTTTAGAAGTCGCCAAACTTAAAAACTAGTAATTGGTATCATCTTATGTCTTCCTTCAGAGCTGGTGACATGTCTTCATTCTCAATTTTTGTTGCTATTTGCAGGCTTTTTAACTTCGGATGTCGTGAGTCCAACTACTCACGTTCACTATCTCTGAGAAACTATGACTAGGTCCAGGATGCGGTTAGGTATGAGAAACATGTCATCACTTTGGAAATGAAGCTACTATTGCAGGTACAGAACCTTCCATCATGAAGGCATTGAGTTTGTTAAGAGTGATAAGGCACCGGTTGCACAATATGAGACTTTCAGAAAATTCCCGATAGATTCTTCATAGTTCAACTGGTAAACGAGACGACCTCTGAGATAATATGGCAAAGCTTATTGAAATTGAGCACGCGGTAGATAGTCACATCATAGTGATAATATCACAGCCACCGACCGTACAGCAAAATGTGGTGAGTTGTGAACGCCTACTACAAATGGTGCAACATGACCGAATTCACGTTTTGCACATAAATATAGATGAATATCAAGTAGCCTGTCATTGTTAAATTCCGTCAGCTTCTCCCTCTGAGATGTTTATCATGTAGTTTAGACCTGCTGTGATCCTGGTCTATTCAAGTGCAGTGTACGTAACTATTATTATTTGTTATTATTCCCTTGGGCTCTGAGTAGAACACAAGGCTTTAAAAACACATCACTACTTTGTTCTATTTTCTGCCATCCTCTTCAGCTGGGTCCACGACTGACCATAGTCTCCCATCTCCTCCTCCCTACACGATCTCTTCCATGTCACCCTCGCACTGACTGCCTACTCATCGCTTTCCAATTGGATTCCACTCGAACAATGGCCTGCATTGCGCGCCATGTCATTTGACGGCCACCTCAACGTATATCCAATCCATCTCCATTTTCTCCCGCATATTTATTGAGCAGTCGGCTCGCTGTTGGTTTGTTGCCTGAGTTTCTTGTTGCCAATTCTTTCTGGTCGACCGACTAGCCATTTAATCATCAGTGTGGAGTTAGCGAAGACAACTGTTGATAAAAGCCTGCATTAGACTGCTTGAAACCCTTTCCGTGACACATTGACCAAGTTTCTAACCTGTACAGAAGAAGTGGCTGGCTTAACATTTGTGTTGAATAGGATCAGAATCTTGTTCTTTACGCCGTGGAGTGCAGAAGATTTCCAAACTGATTTTAGGTTGAGGAAGGTGTATCTCGCCTTTCAGATTCTGTCTGGTTTCGACAATTTCATCCGTTCCGACTGCATGCAGTTGAAACGTTGCTTCCTGGCCAAATAATCGAAGGAGGTAACATCTGTTAAATCTCTTCCGTTGATGCTGATTAGTGCTGGTTGTTGTTGCTATTGGTGCTGGTTGGTGAGTATCTTCTCTATGTTCACCTGGAGTCCTGTCTTCGCTGGCTGCCTCGCCACTCCAGCCAGTTTGTTGGTTTTCACCTGCCTGTGAGTATCCGAGTTTGTGTTACATTAAACATAAATCATCTACACGCGAAATCCAGATGAAGAGTATTCCTTTCTTCTCATTCCCCTCGCATAGTTTGACGCCTACTTCAGTCCACCACAATTAAGAATATCATCATCGGTGATAATAGGCAGGCAGTCTTGTCACACTCCTGTATTCACTTCGAACGCCTCACTGAGTTTCCCGTTGTGGATCACCTGACACGTGGCACTGTCATATAGCCAGTTGTTGAATGAGTTTGACAAAGACTTGGGCACTGCAAACCGTAGTGCTGAAATAGTTTCCAAATTACTTCTTGATCAACGCTGCACTGTCGAAGGTATTTTCGAAGTCGATGATGTTGAGGTAGAGGTTTGACTGCCATTCTATGCTTTGTTTTGTGGTAATGATGCATTGAGTTGCAGTTTGATCAGCACATGATTTCCCTGCCCTTCCTTAATCCAGGTTGTTCCGGTTGGCAGAATTCTGCATCAGTTCTGAATCTTTTATTCTCTCCAGGACGACGCAACTCAGTTTCTTCCCTGGCGTCGACAAAAGCATTATTCCACCCCAGTTCTTGCAGAGACCTTAGTCACTCTTCTTTGGTAACTTGACAAGGTGGCCTTCCACTCAGCAGGAACCTTTCCTAATTTCCAGACCTTTTGCAGTAATGGCGCAAGCATATCCGCATCAGTCTCTGGGGCCGTTCCCAGTACTTCGACGTGAATTTCGTCTGATTCTGCAGCCTTTCTGACTGGGTTCCAGTAGCTTGATTACATTCAAGATTTCTGCCACCCTTGGAGGACTGGTGTACACTGGTAGACAGTTCCGTGCGTGCTGCTGGTGTTGGTGTATTTCTGGGCTAGTTGCGGGTGACAGTCAATTCAACAGTCCTTTGAAGTAATCAGCCCATTGTTTGATTTGTTTCTTTTCCTTGAAAATCTGGTTTTCTTGGGCATCTTTTATTGTTTTCATTACTTGGGTTGACCCCACCTGGATTGAGACCTGATTATCTGATATAATGTCCTAAGGTGTTGGCGGCACACCGGCAGATTGCTCGCTAACCACGCAGGTGGTTCGGGGTTCGATCCCCGGCCGACGCACTCCTTTACCTCTCTAAGCCAGTATTAAGACTGGTAAAGAGGGAAGGTTAGGCATGAGGCTAGCAATCCCATCCCGTAAAAATAAACACCTCTGCTAATGGAACTTCAAGTGTCTAGCTTGAAGCCCTATGTTCCACTGGGAACGTTAAGGAATAAAAAAAGTGTCTAGAGGTCTCTTTTACCTGCGGTCTACCTGTTTTACTTTAGTTGTCGCCAGCCAGTGTATCGTAGAATTGTCTTTTGTCTCTCCTAGCACTCTTCTTCACTTCTCTCTTCATTCAGTGCAATGTACATTTATTTAGCTTATCTTTCCTTTGTCCATCTTCTCATTGAGTCATATTCTCTTTCACTATCCTCCTCTCCTCCATTGGCTTCCAGGTATCCATTGAGAGCCATTCCTTGTCTTGTCTCTTCTTCTTTCCTAGAATGGTTTTACACGTTTCCTTGGACATTACCGAAATTCAGAGAGTTCCAATGTTCTCCCACGCAGGTATCCTCAGCAATACCACGCAGTGTCTCCGACCTTGCTGTGATCTGATCTGTAGTGAAGGTATCCCATGTAGATTTGTCCTTCATTTTCTGAATGTTGAACTGTGGACTGTCTCCAGCTTCATTTTTCAGTAATAATAATATATTTATTCCTATATATGTAGGACACACCAGTTGTACAGGCATGGATAAGTATTATTTACATTACACAAATTTGATTTATGGTGAAATCACATGGTCTCTGTCCTTTCCGACATTAGTTGGTGAGTACAATCTGCTTACTAGTCATTCAATGGAGCACATTAAGAAATATAGAAATATTGCCTTCGCATTAACGAAAAAACCCAAGTGTGTGTTAGATGGATTAAATATATTTGGGAAAAAATAAAGCTTGAAGTCAATTCCTCCACATAACTTTGGTGTGTGCGGCATCGTTTCTTGTTCTTGATTTATATTTAAATTGGGTAATAATTTGAAATGAGCGATTTATTTGTATGATTTTGTCAGCATTTTTATCGTATGTAACACCAGATGTGAATTAAACTGAATGCACATTAATATTGGTTATTGTCAGGCACATTTGTTTTACTGCACCCACGTCAGCAACAGCCCGCTATTTGCCACTGCATGGTTGGTCCGTACGAGTAAGAAGAATCCGTGAACTAGATGACGATCTGAGCCCACATCTGCTCCCCTTCTCCACTTTGTGTCCAGCAGGCTGGTTGCTTGTCCACTTTCTTGAGCACTGTTGAGATACAGTCCATCTGGTTTGTGGTGTGTCCGTCAGTTGAAGTTCATATTGCTCTGTGCATATCCCTGTGCTTGCATACGCTGCCTCCGATCACCAAATCATTGAAGGTGCACATGTCTGTGAAGAGTTCTCCGTTCTCATTCATTTTCCCGAGAGCCTCTGGACTCATGATGGGTTCTCTTCCTGTATTATCAGTTTGACTTGCGTTCATATCTCCCATAAGGATTTTGACGTCATCATTTAAGATGTTGTCTATTACTGTTTGTAGTTGTCTATAAAAGTCTTCCTTCTTTTCTTATTCCGCGTTGTTTGTAGCACTGTGCGTTGCACTCAATAACTGTGACTTTCCTTCCTTCGGAGTTGAATCTTGCTGTCATCATCCTGCATGAGCAGATTGGTTCTCGCTGCATTAAGGATTTAGCTGCCACTGCTGACATCATGATAGCCACTCAGTGCCTCAGTGTGCTCGCTGTTGTCATCTGCGTGGGTGATCGGAGCAGATTACTGACTCCCCGGTTGACAATTTTGATAATCCACATCCAATACCTCTACCGTTGCAGATTCCCAACACTTCTAATCTATATCTTCCTATTTCTTTGGCTACTTGGGCAGCCTTCCCAGACTCGTACATTGTACGGACAGTGGATAACTATATTTGGCAGTAAATAAATCTAAGAAGTAAATATTATAAGTTTCTGGTAATGTAAAACATTGTTTGCTGCTTCTGAAATACTTCGGATGGATTCGACAACCAAATACACACTCTAACCAGTTCCTTTTTAGGTTATTTTGTAATGGCAAGTACGGGATTCTTGGCCGCATTCATTTTAACTGACGCACAATAATCCCTGATTTTGCCCGTCATATGATTCCACCCACCTACTGATTCCAGACAACAGGCTACTGTCCGAGATATTTGTCTGAAAGCCGACTGACTGACTAAATTTCAAGATCCTAAGAATTGTAATTCTGCCTACACTTCACTCATCATTTCCGAACTTATATGTCCGAATGCAGCAGAATTCGTAATTGCT